ACATCCATCAATCCTTTTTAGCCATCCACTGCCTTTTCTTCTAATTCAGAATTGTGTGGGGAGGCTCATTCAGCTGTCACTGGGTCAGACGCAGGGAACAACCTGGCAACCGCAGGGCCTTTTGAATTGATCAATGTAAAACAAACCTCTCCCTAAATAATTAAATGAAAGCTAAATTGCAGCTATCAAAGAAATAAAGACAGTAAAAAAAAAATTAAAAGAAATTTGAAAGTCCAAAGTGTTCACATGGTGAAAGATGGTTTCAGTATGTGACTCAATTGTTTATCTGCTCTGCCTGGAAAATGCATAAATAGTGTGATAGTTTAAATGGTCATAATCCCCTCAGATGAGGTGAATTTCCATTGCTGTTAAAGAGTGTCAAAATGTTTCTGAACAAAGTGGACAAATAGGCTCCAGTACCCCCATGACCCTACTACAAATAAGCGCTATAACAAATAGATGGATGGACACCAAGAGAGAAGCACTTTGATCATTTGTTCTTTGTAGTCTGGAGCAGTGAGGCAAACTGAACAGTACACGATAGCTCTAGAAAGGTTTTGGAGTAAAAGAGAGGGAGATTTTTCTAAAATTCTTCTCAGAACTTTTGTTTAAGGAAGTGTCTCTCCCTCTGATTTGGGTTTTTGGCTTGGTGGATTAGTTACTTCAGAAAACTGTTATTCCCTGTCCCCCATTGGAAGCTAGTGGGGTTGACACTTCCTAAATCACCTCCCCCACTAACAAAATGATATGCAGAAGCCATTTGTTGGCACCCAGACACAAAAGTAGTTTTGACTTCAAACAGGTGTACAGGGGCAGCGAAGACTGGGGGCTCTCCTAGAGCCACCACTGCTTTCAGTCATTGCCCTACATTCCTCGTCCATCCATGACTCCAAGTCTGCTTCCTACATTGTTTTATTCACAGTCCTTTCCCCCTCCTGTCAGTTTTCGTTCTCATCCTCTTCTACTGCAATGAGTTTGATGACTTGCCAGTGGGCAAGCACAAAGGTGAGAGAGTCCACTGCTACCCCCAGCCAGTGGAAACTGCTCCAGTTAAACATGCCAATCTATTGTGGCATTTTAATTATATTAGCTCAACCCACTTCTCTGACTGAACATCCAACATGAAGAGAGAAGCTGTAAGTGTCCATTCAAAACCACTATTGATAAGACTAAAAATAAGCTGAAAACGCAAACAGAAAAACTGCATATCATAATTTTTTTTTTAAATCACATTTTGAGGATTAGCAGTTAAAGAAAATCTACAATATTTCTCTATCAATAAGTTAATAAAATCCAAATTTACACTGTCATATTTTTACAGTCAAAATTAATAACAGGGACATTTGAAAATATTAAAAAAAATTATATCTTTGTGGTGATTCTCCATTGGATTTATATATTTCAGAGTGCTTAACCATAACTCTTAGCTTAAATGTATAAGAAAAGATCATTTTTATCGTTAAAGAAATACTTTACACTGAAAGAAATGCTATGAAACCAGTACACACAAAAACCAGAACACGCAAATAAAGCTCCTTAAAATTGAAAGTCTTCATTTCAAGGAGCGAAAAGCCAAAGCAGTGTTAAATGTGTCATACTGAGGGTTATTTGAAAGGAATATGCCACCAAATCAGAGCTAAGTGCAGGCAGAGGAACAACTGAGGGAGCTACAGAAAAAGCTTGAGGGACAAGTGGTTGACCATAAAGGCCCAATAAAACACTCACATGGACCAATTTTGGACTTTTATCTGAAAAGAGGACTTCCTGAGTCTACTGTAGGTTCAGTGTGATAATGCAGTGTGAGGACAGAGCAACATACTGACTTTTTTGCCAAGTCTACTTTACACCTTCAAATCTAGGGAAATGAAACATACCAAGAGCCATGTTTTTTTTGTTTTAGGGTGCTTTTAATAGATATACAAGTTTCTAATTAAGTTAAGATTTATTATTAAATTTAGTACTGGATTTCATATAATGAATTCATGTAATTTTATATTTCATATAATTTCACGTAATAATCGGTTTTGCTCATTTTATGTCTATAGAGTTACTTCCAATTTTCCCTTTTTTCTATGAGACACGTCTTCAAGGATAACACTTAAGCACACACATTTCTTATCACATCTCAGTGGAACCTGCATGGATTGGGACCCAGCCTGATCATAGCAGCTGGTACTGGCCAGTCAGACCTGGATCAATGCAATTTATTTAGCGCAAACATTAAAAAGTTTAGGTAGAGGAAGGATTACTTACTCTTTCTATTGTGTCAACACTATGTCAAAGATGCCTTAATAATACCAATAAAGAATGCGGTAATTTAGGTTGATCCTATTCATCTTGAATAACTGTATACAATATTCACACCCGTGATGGTGTAAATGCTGAAATATTTTAAACCATGCCAACATTTGCTTTAAGTTGTAAGTACAACTGCTTGCACTCTGTCATCATATGCTGAACAAAGAGAGGAAGAGAATTTCAGTCCCAAATGCCTTTGATGTGCTTTGAAGTATTATAATGTACCAGCGTGTCTGCATGTGGTGTGTGTCTTCAAATCATGAATAACCCTCCAGCTGTTCCCCAGCATATGGATCCTATGTGGATTGATACTGCATGTGTGTGCACATGAGTCTATGCTGTGTGTGGGGAAAACCCACCGACCTACAGGAGGCATGATTTTCAAATAGATTACTGTTTTCATTTCCTTTCACCTTTTTCTTTTGTAATCTTAAATCCTGCTTCTCAATATCTTTCCTAGTGTCATGGTGTTTCTACACAACATTTACTAAGAATGATCCAGGCAGTGGCACAAGTAATGTTAGGGATGTCCAAGCCTTTCCCATGCAACCTCATAGGAGGGCTATTGTTCCCCCTCCAGGCTTTGGGGGTCCCCACTGCTGGGCTATGCCCCTTTCCATCGACTCTACAATGAGTCTTTATGTTGCCAAGCCCCCCCCCCCCTTCACCATCATTCCACCGCACTTCCCTCATCAGAGGCTCACAGACATACAGGGGGCACCACAGCACCAACACGACAACCCTTTTCATGCCCTGTGCTGTCCTTCTTTCCCTCCAATACATGCCAACAGAATCAGACACAGTGAGAAAAAAATAGCTGAAATGCAACAGGCCAAACTTGTGACCGGTGCCAAATGTCTCAGTGGGGTACTGACTTCTTACTCAAAGCAAGAGCACTAGCACTCAACAGGGAGTGTGCGATAACACACAATCACAACCCATTAGAACTGTTGCTGAAAAAAACTGTGAAATGACACACACTTGATTAAACAGACCGAGAAAAAAGAAACAGAGTGGCAGTTACCACAGACAAAAAGAAAAACGTAAGATTTGTTCGTGTTATTTTTGTTGGTCGGTTGAAGCTGGATGTTGCCCCACTCTGTGTTGCTTATCACAAATCTACAACATATTACCACAGGCCCTGATGAACTGCTGCTTTGCTTATCTTGTATCAGCTGAGCGCATGGTACAGATTTTAATGAGCCCTTTTTAACAATTCATAAAAGCATGCAGTATTAATGATTATTGTCCAAAAGCATATTTACATCTCCTTCAAATCCTGACCAGGAATGTCTCCACTGTCCCACTACTGTATTTTTTAAAGACAAATGTTATTGGGTAATGACAACTTTCATTTTGAAGTGAAAAAATAATTTATTCAAATACCACAGTTCTAGATTGACAATAGGCTCCATGTCACTCTTCAAAAACATGCCAAACTTGCCTGGTATAAGCAGAAAACGCTCAAAGATCAGTCAACTCTCCCTCTTTTCCCAAGGGGTGGACTTGTTTATCACATCCAAATCTTTCAGAACTTTTCCAGATCCTTGTTATGTCATTGTTGTATCTTTCTCAATAGAAAACAAATATCTGTGGTCAACTTGAAATCTCAAAGGTTAATGAGGTCATGCCAAATTGCAAACTATTCCATATAAATATTGTACATCTCCCATGACAAAAAAGTCTTTTGTTTCATGTCCGGGGTAGTTTGGGTCCATATGAAATATTCATTTTCCATTTTCCTGTTTTTACATAATGCTAAGTTAGAGCTGAGATGAGAAAAACACCACTGCAAAAGGACAAAGGTCAGACATCCAAAATAGCCTAAGAAACTCCAGTCCATCTAAACCAAGGTCTTACCCCAAAAGCCAGGGCCACAGCCAATTTTTCATGATCAAAGCACTCCATCAGTGCTATCTCCTGCTATTTCACCAAGCTACTTTAATAATTCAGCACAATTTCTTCTTTCTTAAACAAACATGATTTTCAAAATTATACCTGACTGACTATAAAAATAAAAATAAAAATAAAAAATCCCATCTGAGTGATGTTGCTCCATAGTTTCAAGTAAGGGGTAAAATGTGGCTTGATCAGTTAAGGTCTTCTTATGAGAGAGAATATATTATTGACATATCTGAGGAGTTTCTAAAGTGTTTAAGAAACACATCCAACAGGGTAAATCTTTTGCAGACTTGTGTTGGTTAAGTAATTGGAATAATGTTTCTGTTCCTCTAATGCTGACTGAGAAAAAGCATAGCCACACATTGAGTTGATGTGTCAGTCTATGAGAGATGCACCCACAAACATTATCTGGAAAAAGGGTTCCAGGCCTATACGCATAAATCAGCATAAAACAAACGTCTTAGAGCAGAAAGTCACTGATGGCAATCCAATCATTGAACCTAACACAAAGAGGACAGCCTTGAAACTATTTGTCCTGCCAGCAGTCACTCCATGTGAAGACGGATTTAATGACTTCCTCATTTCTACAGCGATTAACAACAGGCAGCCACACTGACAGTGATTAGGCTGAAATTATCCCATATAATCCCTTACTTTCTGAAATAAAAAAAATATTTCAAATGCATGTGGAAAAAAACAAGCAAAATAAATTTGCAGGTGAAATTGCAACGGTAGCTTTGAAAGAGTTCCCATCATTAAGCATTAAGCATCTCACAAAATGGGGTCTGATCATATTTGTCTTACCTTTTCACAACACCATCTCCGCTCCAGCAAGATGATCCAACCCCTAAAGTTTCCCCTTCACACAGAATCTCTGGTAAAGCAGCAAAGAAGGACTTGTAGCGATGCAGATGCAACAAGAAATCCCTGGTAGAAAAACAGGCAATGAGGTGTTATTGAGATTATTCAACATGAGGACATACTTTTGTCGTAGCTTGTGAACATACTTCTCAACTGCAGTATAAGGTTTGAGGACAATACCATTGACAACAAAACACTCCTCTTCAACAAGACATGCATGTTATAAACATACGTGATGATATTGACTGTGGCAGAAATGATGGGCTGTGAATGTGACCACTTCACTGCATCAGCACATTTTTTCTCAGCTTCGCTGTGTGGTAACGTGCAGGCTTCACCAGATTTGCAAACATATGTTAGTGATAAAGACACTGTCATCTTGAGCAAAACAAAGGCACAGCTTTTTGATCCAGCACACATTGTCACCACTCATGAGACTGAGCACCAGCAGGGACCACAATAACTTATGTGCTGAGTCAATAGCTTGCTCACACTAAATATGCTTTAGGATTATTGATTGAGTTAAGTGTGAGATATCTATTGAACATATTATAGGAGTTTATCGCTGGGTAAATTGTGTAAGGAGTTAAGAGAGATAAGTCCCTTGGGTTCATGCTTACCTAGAGAGCGCTCTCAGACTATGTTTATTGTTCTTGGAGGGTGTCAGGGGGAATGGACTGGGATTGATGGGAGTTGAAGTCCAGGGGAGTTTGTATCAAGCAGGAGGATGCAGGGAGGTGAAATGTAGATTGATAGAAAAAAAAGAAGAAAAATAAGAACATCACCGACACATAAGGAAATGGGAGACAGGACAGTCCATTGACCCTGGAAGAGAGTGATTATTCATGCACATGCAAATATTTGTCACACCACACATTACAATTCATTTTTCAGTCAGTAAACACTTAGAAGCAAATAACAGCACATGTGCAAACAGTTAAATATTCTCAGGAAAGCCAAGGAAAGTTCAGCTGAATTTTTTCGATTCACCGTTTTCCCCCCATTAGAACTAAATGTTGCTCTACGCTCATGTTTCATATTTTTGAGCAGAACACTACTCTCCCTTTACTGCAGTGGGTGCTGCCACGGCTTTGAAGTGGTCCGCTCTCGCATGTGCTTCGGTCAGCACTGGCAGCAGGCGGGGAGCTGGATTGTGTTGCCATGAATGGCGGCGGCAGTGCCAGGCCAGATCTGTCAGCTAGGCTGGCATCAGCGCAGCGAATCATGGTTTGGGACGAGGTCAGGAAGGCAACACTGCTGCAGTGTGTCTGTGTGTGCTCGTGTGTGGTGTGGTGCTATTTAAGCCAAGGCTGGTCGGTGCGCAGGGCTGGTGGCATGGTTGTCTGGGTAAACAGGAAATTGTTGGTCTGTCAAGATTGATCTTACCGACCGGCAGCCTCACTACCAACAACTGTGGCCATGGGACGGCGACTTCTAGGGCCAGGTGGAGGGCATGGATTGTGCTGCAAAGCACTGCATTTACTGTGTGACTGCGTGTGTGTGTGTGTGTGTTGAGACCAACTAAACATATAAAAACTGTTTAAATTGATGGCAGCTGTGACTTGAAACCTAGCTAACCACAAAATCTATGCCACATTTAGTGGCTAGCAAAAGTAATAACCAGCAATTTGCCGGCAAAAGGAGAGAGAGAGAGAAAACAATTAGTAATTGCAAATTTTTTAGATCGTAACTTATTGTGGTTCATAGTTTTATCTTACCTCTTTAAGTGGGCTAACTTTTCCTGCCACTGTTCTGGTAAATGTTCGGAAGGAGCAACAGATGGGAGAGGAGGAGATGAGGTTATGGTAGAGGTTGTGACCTCCGGACTAGTGGGCTCTATGCCTGGAGGTTCCGCTGTAGACAGGCCACACACTTTGACCACCTGTGGGGAGAGCAGAGCAAACACACACCTGCTAAGCTTAGAAAACATTTGAGAGTTTGGGTGAAGCTCCAGGGTGGCTTCCAAACCACCATCTGACACCTGCACATAAAAAAGTGCACACACGGACACTGATTATCAGACAGTAAACACCTTTTCCAGACTGATGCCACCCCATTTCAAGATAAAGACTGCCAGCATTTTTGTGGTCAGATTAATGGTTGATTTGGGGAAAAGGAAGGCGTTAAGGGAGGGATGTGATGAAAGAAAATGGTGTGATGAGTGAGCTATTGCCAGAAGGGCTGACAGTAAATGCAGAACATTCCAGAGCCATATGGAAGTGAATACACAAATAGACAGTTGCAATGATTGCGAGTATTACCAGTGGGCTAATAAAACCTGCAGTAGAGGGAGGAAGACAGGAGGGGTCATCAGACTAAAGGGGGGGTGTATTTCAAACCAAAAGACATAATCAATGGCATCTCATTGGCTTAAAAGCATCTGGGCAGCATTGTTAAGTGATCCCTGATGAAGAGGCAGACAATGATGACTCTTGAATGTCTGATTGAATAAGTTCTTATACTGTTCAGTGCATCCTGTCAATTGAAATGCCTCATTCTGGGAATTGAATAATAGTTAACAGCATACTTTTTTCATCTTCAATTCAAATTGGGAGGAGAAGCAAGCAACTAGATTTAGACGTAACTAAACTTTCATTGCAATAAATATTTATAATGGATTTAAATATCTTTATTTGAATTACTTTTATAATTTTGTGATGAATATTGTCTAGTTGGAAGTCACAAATAAATGGACATCATCATGTGTGTTACATTTAAATTATAGACTATATAAAAGCAATCACAGATCAGACATTAGATGGACCTCACTTCCATCCCTGCTACAATAGAAGCTCCACAAATCTCCTATGGGAATGCTCTAAGTAAATCCAACAAAGCAAAAGTTTTCCTCATCCCGTTTGACACGTGGCAACATAAATGCAAGCTCTATAGAAAGCATGTCACGGGCCAAAACAATGGAATGGTTAAAAAAAATGCAAGAACTTCTGTGAAGGAGGAAGCTAGAATGTGTGTTTAAACTGTAGTCTAAAGGGGTGTGTCTACATGCTGGAAAGAGTGAAATAGTCTGAAAGCAGACGGAACATGTGTCAACAGAAGCGAAAGGTGTCTTTCCATTCTCCTTTTTTTTTAAGCACAGTGAGGTTTGTCTGTTTTCTCATGTGTTGTATGAATGGAAGTTTGAATACGAGAAATGCATTTGTGAGCAGTGGAAATGTCAAGGGCTCACAAATCAGATAATATACTTACCTGAGTAATTGTATTTCATTCTCCACTATGGCCTTATTATCCACACTTTCTGTAACTACATTCATATCTTAAATTCCCTCTTCGAGCGTTCGCCGTGCACATAAAAGGTGCTTTTACTGCATTAACCTTAACTCCTAGTGGGCCCATAAAACATGCTCACATGTGGTAGAATGACCCACGTGTGTGTGTGTACATGTACTCACACACATCAATGTGCTTGTGAGAAAAGTATTGAGCACAGCACTTTTTTAGAACATTTGAGTTCTATTTGAGCAACAGGCATTGTTCAGACATTTATTTCAATGTACAATCTTAACGTAATTAAGAAATTTGTTTTATTAAGCAAGTGATAAAATAGGGAATACATTAAAATATGTTTCTTCCACTACTAAACACTAGCAAAACAATATAAATAAGTACTGGGCTGGAATTACATAATTTATTAAGGTAATTTGTTTATTTCCTCCAACAGGTTTTCTGAAACCTTTACATAAAGCAAAGCTTTAAGTACTCGAGCAAAGTGGCAGACACTGTTGAAATGATTTATAAGGCTGCTCTTTATTTAGAAAGAAGGGGGAGAAAAAAAAATCTATAAATCAAATTCCGGAGATTCATTGCACATATTTCAGACAACATGAAGTCCAATGACGACATGTCCAGACTGTAATGTCTGGGAGGTCTAAAGCCCTGTGCACGAGGCTGAGTGTGTGTTCACATTAAAGTTGTCAGTTTAGCAGACTGTGCAGGAGGCATGTGTGGCCCAGGGGCAGAACAAGACAACCAGTATAGAATAGTTATCCTGTGATAAAAAATTACATTAGTAACTGTAAATGTTATATGCTCTCTGTTGTACTGCTTTGTTTTCCTAGGTAACAATGGACAGTGTACTGAACTTATTTTGAACGTTTACATTGATCATTCAATTCGAAATTGAAATCACGTCAAAATAACCAAGCTATAAATAAAGACCATTGCATGGGCAGCCATGCCTTTTCTAACTCTTGAATTAGAGGATGCTAAACTTAAGAAAAAAGTTCAGAATTATATGTTTTGCATCTCGCAGTGTTACTAAACAGTGGGTTAACACGGGATTCAATCCACTCATTGTGAAACTTCCAACAAGAGTGAAACATAAAGCACCATTTCTCACCTGCTTTTGTGTGACACTTTGCTATTCTGCTAAATGACAAAAATGTAAACATCTGTATAAAATATGAACACCAAATGGAGGTCACCTTCAGTTCTGTTTGTATTACCCCATCACTTCTGCAGACAAGCCACAGTGAAGAGGTTCAAGATTACAGGCCAAAAAAAAAAAATTGGAGTAAGGCCTACTTTTCAAAACAGTAATGCTAACATAAGTCATTCTTTTGCCTAACTAAACACACAAAAAGTGTAAACAGAACGCAAAGTCATTGCAGGGAAAATAAACAGTGTCCTCTGAAGGATCCTCAAGAGATAAGCAAACGCTCTCATGGAAAGGATCAGCTGGCCACATAATCCTGGGGGCCAATGAAATGACGGCGAATAACGGCATGCGCTAAAAGACTGCCATAAATCAATTATCCCCTGACCTGATGATGGCGTGAGAATGAAAATCCCATTTGGGCACAGCAATGACACTTGGTTTTTATTTGTATGTGGAAGTTCAACCACCTGTTTGCCCTTATTATACCTTCAAAATTTCAGATATTTTGTGGAACATTCCTTGTGTGACTGCTTGAGGACAGATACTGATGGGGGTGGAAGATTGATGGGCAGCATGGTGTCCACGTGGAATCACTTTGGGGAAATACAAGGCATGTGTTTTTTATGTTAATTTTAGCTTCTCAATTAAATTTGATTTCTTCTGCTACATGTGACAAGAACATCACACACTGTGCATATGTTTAAGGTTGGATTTAATCTCCTACACAGAAATACAACTGTAAAAAGTCTCTATAAAAAGCTGTTTTTCAGGCTGTGTTATACTCTGTGTGTGGTTTGTGAGCAGATATTCGTGAGATAACAGGGTGGGAAAGTTGGGGCAGCAATGGAATCAGTTCCATACTAACCAAGCCCAAGACAATTCCTCCTCTAAAGTAGTATAGGCTTACAGATAGCAGTGGTTGTCTTTCTTTTCAGTTTATTTATCAAGGGATTACCCAGGAAAGCCAAGGGAACTTTCTCATCCCCTTCTCACCCCAAGCACAGTGGAATGTGAGATGAGCAGGTCTTATTCCGTCAGTAAACACTCCTATCTTGCACTTTATTCTGGAGATTTTGTTAAAGGAATACAGAAACATGTGGTGTGCGCAAAATAAGAACCTCTTTGCAAGTGTAACAGTTCTTTACTTTAGTTCATGTGTGTTGAAATAAAATGAACAAACTATATAATGAATTTCTAAAGATTGTACAGAATCTTCTGGGATTATACCAACACACGGGGGGAGGCTCGACAGCTGTCATTTGGGGTGGACAGACCACCAGTTCATCATGGGTCCACAGAGGAATGAGGAACCCCACACTCCCACTCATTCTGATGGACAATTTAGTCATCGATTAATATAATGCATGTTTGGACTGTTGGAGGAAACCAGAGTACCTGGACAGAACACGCGTGTACACAGGGAGAACATGCAAACGCCATAGAGAACATTTTTTGCCCCCGAAGGTTTGAACCGGGAAAATGTCTCTTTCTGTCAGGAGATTTTATTCTTTTTCAAACTAATGTTTCTTGATTGTTGTGTGAAATTACATTAACTTAACCATACCAAATTATTTAAAATACAATCATATCTCTCAAACCAATTTTAATTCCCTACTTACTTTCATTTTATCACTGACAAATCAATAATTAACCATTTTCACAACTTAAGAGACTAAAATGATTCTCTGTAATAAAACCGATCTTTGAAATAATCCTCTCCCGACCATCCAGGTCAGGTGTGGGCAGCTCCAGGCTTTGAGAAACGCTGTCCTGCAGGTTTTAGAGGTGTCCCTACTTCTACACACCTGATTCAGGTAAAACTGATCTCTTCTAAAGGTGCTTCAGCTCTGAACAGGACTGCTGATGTTGTGCTGATGTGAATCAGGTGTGTTGAAGCAGGGAAACCTATAAAACCTGTAGGACAGCGTCTCTCAAGGCCTGGAGTTACCCACCCCTGAGCTAGGTGTACAGGCATGAAAGACTACTGTACAAGAGAAGAGGCACTATAACAGAAGCTTCCATGTAGTACAGATGTATGGAAACTTACCGGACAGAAAAAGCTAAGTTAATGTAACTGAAAAATAGATTTAGATTATTTTTCTTATCGATCAGCAATTGTTTAATTTTCTGTATAGAGTTTTCCTGAGATGAAAACAGAAGAAAATCAAAGTAAATATAAATGATGACTGTCTTTATCTTGTGTCTTGCAGGACTAGTGATGTTGTGGTGGAGGCCTTGAGGTTAAGTAAGTGGGCGTGTGACTGGATTGTTGCCAGTAGAAACTTTGGACCATCTGGGAAATGTGGGTGTGTTAAAAATAATTTTCTTCCCTCAAGAGCTTTGATACACATTATTTTTTTTCTTTCAATCACCCACTGGGCTTTGAGTAATTATTAATCAGACCACTAAGGACAAACAATTCTAAGGAAGGTTTTTACTAGAATTGGGTCTAGCATGAATAAACCATAGAATATACTTTGTCCCTAAATTTCCATAAACAAATTGTTCAAATAAAATAAATAAATAAATAAATATGTGTGTGTTGGAGCAAGGACTATTCTACTATTGTTTAAACTGGTTATTTCTATGAGGTAGAATACACAAATTAACATAAGACTTTACAATTTAAAGCCAGATGTCTCAGGAAGAAACCTTGCTTACTGCAAAAATTTCATAAAAATGTGTGCTTAACAACTGGGCGTATTGATGACTGCGCAACGTCTGGAGGGGAAAAGCAAACAAGGGTCTAAAAGATCTACTAAAAGGTTTGTGCAATGGTATTTTGTTTCCATGCATTCATCTAGTTACAAAAAAAATATTCCTACTCTATGAGTCACTTTATTACCTCACAGCCTTCTTCAGGTTTCAAATCAAACCGAGTAACTCCATATTATGGGCTCAGCTTTTAAAAGAGAAAAAAAACAGAGAAGCTTCTATTTAATTTAATTTAGTATTCAACTCTAAAAGTGACACTCTTATGGACAAAGTAGACAGAAAGGTAGAATAGAAGCAATCTCTTTTTGAATGAAAAGCAAAGGTTGACTTTTAGTGAGAATTTGAATTTATTAATATGACTTATTAATATAACCATGATCATTCACAGGTTAACTGATAATTCCCGACACTAAAGTCAGTGGAGTTACAAATCAGGGTAAGAAGTATTAAAGGTGGTGGGGGGGGGCAATAATTCAAAGAAGATATATTGTTTTAAGGTCTTATAAAGTGTAAAAGCATTTGATTTACCTTTGTCAAAACATAACAAAATGATGCAAATGCTCCCCTGTTCATTTATTTATAATTCTACCCAGTGATGTCATTTAAGGGAAGTGGAGTGACCCACTGGAGTCCACTCAACACTTCTCTTCTTTAGGGTCTACCTTTTCTGAAATCCATTGTATCTGAACACTCTTGTGGCACATTTCTGTGGTTTGAGAGAACGTGAAAAGTAGCCTGAGACCACAGACCACCAAATAAAACTTGACTGGTAATTCAAATACTTAATTATTATTGTGTGTAGTTGACCCACACAGAGCTGGTCAGCTACTGATCCCTCATGCCATGAACGAGTCCTGCCATGAAACATGCACGGTAGAACTTACTGGCCAATTACCGTTACTTTTAATAACACCATTGAAAACTTGCATCATAATTCCTCTGTCGTATTTAGCTGCCTATTTTATTTGAAACAGTCATTTAAAAGCTTAACACTCAATCGGTGGCTGATATTCCCTTGGAAATCTTTGTATGAAAAAGTGCAGACGATTTATGATAGAACCCTCAGCCCTTTGGTGATATTCTGTCTCTGAAATGTATCTCTTTTATCTCTGCTCACTGTGTAAATTACTGTTTGCATCTCTCTGTCTCTGTCAATCAGTCCACCCTTCGTGCTTTTTGCTCCCTCTCCTATTCGAATGAAGTCAGTGCTAATTAAAGAGAGATGGAGTCGCTCATATATTACTGTGAGGATCCCTTCAGATTCCAATCAGTAAAGAGCACAGTGATAAATCAGTCACATATGATCTGAAAAGGGAAGGTCTGAGGGTTTCCTTAATAATACGGATTTTACTGCAAAGATCGAGCATATATGTCCATCTATGTAAAAAAAAAACTATACAACACTTATGCCAAGATGTCTCAGTGATTTCAAGTGGTGTTATATTTAGAAACAGGGGCAATGTGAGGAAAGGAAATGAGAAAGGAAGGTTAAATGAGTTCATGTAAACTTTTTTTAAGATTTCGTGGAACATACCAGACAAAAGGGGAAAAAAATCAGCATGTGAACAAAAACTGTGAAAGCACATGTGTTCATCTGAAGCCTTCTAATGCACCAGCAGTGACCACTAAAATCATAACACAGACGTTTGCACGTTTGCATTAGCAAGACAGCAGGTGCTGCATGATATCATGAAGTCAAGATTAAACATGCAGCTCACCATGTCACAAGAAACCTTAAAAGGCTTTCAATGTTTAATTCTGACACTTGTCTAAAATAAGAAAACATGTTAAAAACATCTGAGGGCAAAAGTGGCCCTAAAGAATGCTTTTAATAACTATGTGCTTGCTAAAAAATCCAGTCTCCATTTACTTTATTTTGTCACACGAGCAAAGCCTATTAACAAAACTAACTATAGCACTTTCATTCTTTGTGTAAAGTAGAAATATCCTCCTATCATTGCTCAACCATTATCAACCAATATCAATCTGAAATGTAGACAATAACACAGACATGGTTCTTTCCTTTGTCAAGTGGTGATTTTTCTTGACAATCCTCCAGTTATTTTCTATTACGTGTGTCCATCAGACGAACAGACTCATGGCTTGATTAACATATAACATCAATATATAAAAATGACATGATATACCAAATAATATAACGCCATCCAAGAAAAACGTTGGGTGCAGAAAAAAAAAACAATTTGATATTTATAAAATATCTCATAAAATGCATAAACATTATGGATGACTTATTTGCATTCACCTTAAATTTCATAACGCTACAATTAGTCATACGGCAATTATAAGGGAGAGGAAAATGCGTACATTTCCAATGGATTTTGGAGCTGATGCATGTTATTAGCAGATCACAGCAAAGAAACAAGTAAGAGCATGGAAGATGAGGACTGGAAAAATATGTGAGGAGAAACTAAGCTGCACCCACCATCATTAGCTAATGGACTGCTGAGTAAGCCATTCAGGCAGTTTGAGGGTTAGACCCAAAGCCAGCCATGCACACAACTTGGACAGATAGATTTGGTCAATAAGAAAGATTAGTTATACTCTCTCTCTCTCTCCCTCTCTATGTATATATATATATATATATATATATATATATATATATATATGTATGTCCCCTTAAAGCCTGAATTTATATGGCTCTATACAAATAAATACTTCATGTGACACACTTCATGGTAAATAACGTTGAGATTATTTATTGTACTTTTGCACAAAAAATTTATAGAAATGTTGGTATGTTGCAAATCTGCGCTAACTGGCATAATGGTCGATTTGGGGTCAATAACATAGTAATATAACAGTGAAATTTTTTATTCATTCGCCCTTTTTTTGCCTGTTTATTTGCTTATCGAAGGTTCCTATGTCCGTAGCGAACTGCACTAACCGGCATTGGGGGAATGCAGACGCCATCTCGGCTGGTTGATTGAGTCAAACGTTTTGCCGCATATTTGTGACAGCAGGCTTTAAGGGGTTCATTTCATATATACATATGCAGGCATACTAACAAAGCATTAACCTAGACCTAGACAGACACTATGTCTATATATATAGACATAAATGACAATCCGTGCTTAAGAACTCTGTCTAACCAATAGGAAAACGAGGGCACGTTCCATCTCATCTGGTGTTACATAAAATATAAGAATAATAATCATGCTACAGTAAATGCAAAATCACTTGCATGTAAGCTACTGCAGTCTATTGAAGTGCTGCCAAAGTGAATGGAACCCTTCCAATCATCCCACAGGCCCTTGTTTCCATTATCTAAAGGCCCAGGCAGTTATTATCATTCCTCCATAAGACGGTAATAAGAAGGTGGGGTAAAACCAACAGGCAGATAAGGTAAACCTGCATATAAAATGTTCTAATGTGGACCAGTGTTACTATTTTCTCAAAGGGAGACTGTAAATAGCTGAGTAACAATGTATATGACTGAATAAAACTGTAAAAGAATACAAGCTTCTGTGTGGTAAGATTTATCCATTTCTACCCATCTTAACCTGGTAGACCATATACAATTTCATTGCAGTTCAACTGAGCCATATCATTATTTTATGGTCAATAAACAGCATTCAGTAACTTGTCAAGCACAGCTAACTCTAGGGGGAGACATTTTAAGAAGAATTCAACAAGTCAGTATTCAGAGGGACAAAACCTAACCAAACATTGGAGCTACCATTTGCACCAGGGCCCAATAAGTGTAGCCATTTTTACTGGACACATTCCAGCTTTCTCCCAGTTATGTCTACTCAACATAATCCTGCCCTAGGCTCCCAATATAATATCCATAACCACTTCCCTCTGACATACGTTCACTCATTAGTGAGTTAACATAAAAACTGTCCCAAGTTTATTACAGGACTCAGTACATGTGCACACAGTGGCGTGTGTACGTGTCTATCTGTATGTACAGTATGTGTTATGGCTGGGATGTATAACAATATACAGTAGAGGCTTTGTAGTCTACGGTCAGTAAGTGAGAGAGTGCAGCCACAAAGTGGTTTGGCAAAACATCCCAGTAGAAAGCCACAGTCACAATAATCCCTTTAATAACAACTACAAATTATTCTCTGACTAGGCAAAAAGCAATTTCTCCTTGATGCTTGACTTTACAAAAAAATCATAAATCAAGTGCAATAGTTTCTTTTAGGGTAAGAGTTTGATTTCTCTTCTAGGATGAGGCCATATGCACATGTAAGGGTGAACACTGCACCTATGATCCAGTAACAGTGCACAGAACTCCTAATGTTTTGTAAAATTGGAAAAGAAATCATAATCACAAGTAACCAGCAAAAGCTTTCCAAACATCACATTCAACACTGCCAAGATATATAGTTAAACAAAGATCTTAAACAAAAAACATCTGAAAGTTTCTGCATGTACCATTTAGATCTCTGATGAATGTTTTTTTTTGTGTGTTTACTCACCATGGCATTAATGATTGGACCATGGATCTGTGCATAGAGGAGTGCCTCATAAACGTGCCCTCCGACTCCCAGCATGGCTAGTTCCAGGTTGTGGTGTCCGGCCATGGCAAAGATTAGCTGCTCCAGCAGGCCGACATATCGCCTCCAAGGCTGGTCAAGCTCCGACACGCTGGCCAAGCAGCCTCGCATTACATTTGTACAGTAGCCACCACAGGGCTTGATCAACGTCAAGCCTCTGCAGTGTGGGCAGTACACCATCTTCAACAGGCTTTTCACACAGTCTTTGCTCAGGGTGGCATGTTCCGTGGCATTCATGACCACCCTGCCCTCGTCCAAGGCCAGACTCAGTTGCCGACCAGCCCCCAGTGCTCCGGCCAACTCCTGAGCCATGACGGTAGAATGATTCCCGAAAGGATTTACATCGTGCCTGATCTTACGGAGACAGTCACTAGTTTCGCTGTCTCCCGTTATGCCGTCCTCAGCGACTGGTTTGATAAGCTGTGTGTAGACAAGGGGGAAGATGTTGTCATAAAATTGGTGCACCGTTGCCTCGACGGAGACATTGGCGCCACGGAGGTAGAGAGAGAGCGATGAGAAGAGCTGATTGACGTGGGGCAGGGCACGGCGGGACAGGGATGGGAAGGTTCCCTCCAACAAGGAGCTCAGGTGGCCTTGAGAAAAGGACAGGAGGTACTGGTACATGTCTACAATGAGAGCAAAAAAAAAGATCATTAAGTTGAGAAATGCAGCTGGAAATCAGTTCATATGGATTTATCAATGAGGTGAGCATCACTTCAGAAGATTGTCTCCGCTTTCCTTCACACATTGACAAAGATAGTTCGGCTGAATGCTGATAACTCTTGTTAAGAGTTTCTGCGACTGCTGATGTCAACTTCAGAGTCCACACCCTACCAGAAGATTTGTTGGAAGAAGAAAGTTATCAGGTAATCTGCCCAATTCACTGGCTGGTTAGCAAAAATGAATAATTTACTTACTGGTAAAGCACTATAATCTACAGCCACAATAAGGTACATGTGTCTAATCATTCCATGTGACTGTTTTGCATTATTTCATATTGTGTTTTAAAATTTCAAAAATAAAATGTTTCTTCTCACTACATAGACTGTTGCTTCCTTTTTGTGACCAGCTCGTTTTTTCATTTGTGGTGTTAACATGCTGCTCTGTTTTTCCTCCCAGCTTCTCCCCATACATGTTCCACTTTTCACTGTACTGTATATGTAAGCGTGTGAGCTTGTCTATGCGAATGCTGGATGCAACACTGTTCTCTGGGGTGTGATGTAAGCTCAAAAGCATGACAGGTCATGAAGGAGCAGTAGCAACTGTACAGAAACTGAGACCAGAGAGAAAGAGGGTGCCAGAACACATGCAGTAACCCCCTGCAAGCATACACAAACACACATATGCAGGCATACTAACAAAGCATTAACCCAGACAGACACTAACAGCTCATATATAAATGATTGCTGTATGTTAACACTTTCACATTCAGGCATGATGGGAGTAAGATACACTTAGAGCATAGTTAAGCACAGAAATTGCTTGTAAATTAGCCAAGTGTGTACATGTTTTTGTGTGTGATTGTGTGTGTGTGTGTGTCCAGCCCCTCCACGCTCGCAGACAGCAGAATAACAACAGTCATGTCATCATGAACAGCTGCACTAATACGAGCACTGTTTAGAATAGACAGGGATTCCGTGCTTGCCAGTAAAAGGCACATCTTATTTACATCTCATTTGAAATGACCCAGAAAAGCACAATTTAAAAATGCCTCCACAAAGATTTGAAATGGAAGCCTCTGAGATCCACCCAAAAACTTTTGCAAGCATGGAACAGAAATAAAGTACGGAGTAAACATAACCAATCTTCATGTAGGGATCATAACCATAAAAAGAATGGCATTTTATAGATTGATAGCCATCAGAATAAATCCACAGACATCCAGGTGTAAATGGACCAAAGAGAGTAAACCCAAAATGACAGGGTTAAAAAAAATAAAACAAACAAAACCAAAAACAGCATTAAGATAAGCAGAAAAATGTCTGTTTGACTTCAGTCTCAAGCTCAGATGCAGCAGAATGGATAACAGTGTGATGTCTACTTGCAATAATGCCAATGTCCACATAACTTTTATCTCCCCCGATGTATCCAGCAGCTTCAGTTCGACAAAAACGTTATAATTTGGAGAAACATCATGATTTAACCCGTCTGTGGGTGCCTCTCAGTTTACATTTTAGCAAAAGAATTCAGATCCAACAAGAAAAGAAAATCTACAATTTTGGATTTTATCAATTTCATATACTTTGATCCTTCCTTAAGATTCTCCATAGTTATTGAAAGTTTATTTTTTCAAAAGATAAAAAGAAAACAAATGGGGGAAAAAAGAAGAGAGTGGAAGACCGCCAGGAAAATTCAATAAAAACAAGTGTCTGAACTATTTAACAAGGAAAAACAACTACTGTACAAGTTGACTCCACCTCGTGAACATGTTGACATCTGGATTCATTTGGCCCCTGGACCTCTACGGTTCCCTGTCTCTCCGAGGTTTTTACTTCACACATGTACTTCTGTGCTTAAGCAGGACATTTTGGTACTTCGAGATATTCAACAGCCAATTAAACACAAAATAAAGACTATCCAAATATATATACATTAGCATTTAGAGTTCGTAAGGATTATAGACGGCGACACAGTAAATACCCATTTCATCCAGCGGAGGGCACTGAATGAAAGGGGTTTGGCCTCCAAGCTTGACATTTTATGCTTAGCATGGTATAAGATGCATTTTTTTCCAATCTTTTGTGGAAATTCTAATGTGTAGTTGCATACTCTCTTAAAAGGCCATGGAGTAACCATCAAACATTTACCAGTTACTTGGATAACTTACATAAAGTACAGGTAGGATGTAAAACATGAAGACCACCAACTTGCAGTCACCACAGTATGAAAGAATTCAGGCTTGTACTTGTACTTTCACTAAAACTGTTTCAACAGCCTAAATTTGAATTAAATTGAGAACCACAATGTGTCCAAAGCAGCAATAGCAAATCACATGAAGGGTTCTGGATTTAATTTTTGAACTGACTTCCTTTCAATATGCAAGGGCTGTGTGACCAAAATTCTCAGCATTTGATAATCTTTTAGGAATGTGGATCTGGAATTCCAGATTCTCATTCCTTATGCAGATTGTCCGGAAAATAAACCATCAAGCAACACCCAGTCTTTTCTGACTGTTTAGAAAGAAAATACTGTCCATAGCAATTAATTGTGATGGTCAATTCTAGCTCCAAGGCTAATCCCAGCCAAATTCTCCATCTTGAGCTCTTAAGTGACCCATCTGAGTGAAGGGGAAGAATATAAATCTACTGGCATGAATATCGACTTGTGATGCAAAAAGTGCATTGCAGTTTTATATAGATTATATAAAACAGCTCTTTAAAGCATTAACACTGCAAAGATACTTGAGAGATGTTTGTATTATCATAGCTGCCTGGCAGGAATCATTTTTGCCACTCTTTGGATTTTAGTGTCTTTGAGAAATAAGATCTCTCCCCCAATCATGATCAGCGAATAGATAAGAGTCAATCTCTGATGCACCCTGAAAGTCAACCCCCTTATTCACACATCCATCCATTTTCTATATCCATTTAATCCATTCAGGGTCACAGGAGGCTGGAGCTTACCCCAGCTGTCATTGGTCAAGAGGTTGGGTAAGTCCTGCATGGGTCACCATATAGAACATTTAGAGTTAGAGTTATATTTGTACCCACACAATACCCATAGATAGACCATTCATACACAAGGAGAGTATGCAGATGTACATTATTAATTGCTTTTTTTTTGCTTTATTCAAGTAGAATTCATCAACAATTAATTTTGTGTCATTTATTTTTTGGCCCTCTGCAAGAACTGTCTGATTTACAGCCATGAATTGAAATGCTTTTTCCAGGTTACATTACAGTTCGAATTCCATTCAATGTATACATTTCTTTTTCTTTGTGTTTTTCGTTAGTCTCTGCATAACTCCCATGTTCTCTCCCACGTTCAGATAGATCTGACTTCTCATTCCACAATAAATCAAATGCAATCGCTGTGGGTCTGTACACAATTTCCAGTAACGTTATGAACAAAAATGAGAAAATATAAAGAGTTCTTCAAGCCCTAACTACCACTGCATGAAAGTCAATTTTAGTATGATTCTTTTGTCTGGCCACTGTGCCTAAATCTGGATTTTGACCACATTCAGTTTAGATACATACTCGTGACTGGGTATCATTACTATGTTATTGTTTCCCATCTGTATTACCCTTGGGAAATGAAATGTGGTTAGACTGTGGTCACTTTGCATGAGGCAATTAACTTTAATTCCAATGTAAGCCCTAACACACTGACATTTAAAACACAGTTAGCTATACAGGAATGAATTAACGGGCCAGCTTTTTCTGTACTCCTGAAGTGAAATTATACATGTTGTCTGCTTAGAAGAAACAAAGAATTAGGAGGATAAAAATGCAGCAGTGATGATGCAGATGAAGCTTTGTCCTGCTCTGGCTTGGACTGGTTATGTATTTATGACACTGGAATAGGGTATTAGGCCATACAGCTCCACAAGTGCCATGTCAAACCCACTCTCTGAGAGCAATAGATTTAAATCATAAAGATCCCAGTTCAGTTGTACATTCTGGATAGAAGCTCGGTTAACTAGCACAATTAAAGCTCAACTGTCACCTTACTGAAGCTGATACAATCACTGATCCCTGATCAGTATTGTGATTGTGTGGTTTCAGTCATACCCACCATGTTCAATTTCTATGCAACTAAAAGACATCTGATTTCTCTGTCAAATACACATTGGAGACAAGTCTGGGTACACCTCTGAAATTGGTCAAATTGAACCAAGATTGAAGCTGTGCCCAAGTTTTAATCAGAAGTCTGTATTTCTTGAACATGAAAAAAGTAATCTATATTTGGTATATCCAATAAACAGTTAAAAGAAAACTTATTTTTTTGTAAATCAGCGTAGGGTAGTACTGCTCCACCTATAGCTTAAAAAAGCTTTATTCATAAAATGTCTTAGTGTATTATTTATTAATTTCCATAGGCAACAGTGGTAAAGTGTTTCAATTTCTGGTTTTGCAAATTTCTGAATACATTAAGGGAGTTTTGTCCACCTTGGACATTCTTTGTCACCAATCATTTGGATCTGACTGACTGATTAGAAAAGTGTCAGATAAAACATATCAGATGGTTAAACTATAAAAACCAAGTGGCAACATCTGGAGCTGAAAAAATAAAAACAATACATAAGAAGCAAAACTTTAAGGAACACTCCATGGGTGATTCCAGAGGCAAATATTACCCCAAACTGTTACCAGATCAGTTTGAAACAAGATGACTGGCCTAGCTGGGAATACTATCGCTTTTATGATTTTTTCTTTTTAACAGTGAGGGCATTTAATTACTTATTTCATATATATTATGAATATTAGAAAGCTCCTCTCTATTCAAGTATGTATATGTGGCCTTGTAATTGTGGGTGTACTTGCTTACATGTGCTTTGAGATGCAGTAATATTGTGATAATGAGGTAGGAGACACTGTTCTCATACCACAGAGCTGTGGGCCATTTCTATCTTGGCAATCAGTCCTCAGTGAACTTGGCCAACCATCATCTCAGGCAAAGCATTTTAATCCCTCTACAGTCTTGGGTTTCAA